TTGAAAGATATCATGTAATTTTTATTTTAGCAGAGCACAGGCCAGCAGGCTAATCTTTGTTTTTCTACGTTTTTCTTATTTACCTCCAAATTTTCTTGTCAATAGCTTTAACCCTTATATTGAAAACCCTGATTATTCTCCTCCATTAAATCCTACTACTGACTCTGCTAAAGCTTTAGGAGATTTTGGTTCATCTGTAACTTCAACCTTCTGAAATAAAGTAAACTCTTCTGATTTTGCAACCTTACCTAATTTATATTCTGTTAACCCTTTACAACTTGAGGAAATAGAAGATATCTCTACTCACTCTATCTCTGTTCTTCCTGATTATGATAAAAATACTATTCAAATTTGATTTCCTCTTCAAATTAATACTTTTAATCCTCTCTTTGCTAATATTGATTTAGAATTTGCTCTTACTCACCCTCATACTGCAACTAACTCTTCTCGAGCTCAACCTCACCCATTCACTCAATTCTTTAACTATACTATCCCTACTAACACACCTACTAATACTACTAACCCTCCTCTTGCATCTGGAGCTTATCCACAGGCTAATTTAGATCTTAATACTACTCCATTAAATACTTCTCCTCAACTCCGACAACAACTTTCTACTGCACCATTATTAATAGAACCTAACCAAGATCCTAATTTTATTGTTGAGATACTAGAAAAATAACAAGAAGAAGTTAACAATCAAGCTTCTGATGCTAAAACCAATTCTACCGTAACTGACAAAGAACCAGAACAAGAAGAATATATGGCTGAAGCTGCACTTAAAGCCGCTGCTAAAGCAATGAATAATATTGCTAATGCCTTAGGATATAGTGGTGAAAAGTCCCTTATTAAAATTGATTTTTACCATGGTGATGTAACTCAAGACCCTATAACTTGGTTAGAAGAATTTGATTGTGCTGCCAAAGCTAACCATTAGAGCCCTGCTCGACAATTAGAATTAGCTACTACATATATAAAGGATAATGCTCAAGAATGGTTTACTAGCCTTGCTAATGCTTCTATTCACTACTATCATAATTGACATGGCCAAAATGTAGATAGTAACCCTGTTCAAAGTTTCACCTATCTGTTTAAGGCAAAGTTTAGTACAACTAGACAAAAAGCTACCTGGAAAAAACAGCTTTTTGAAATCAAACAAGGAACAGACATGGTTGATACCTATATTAGCCATTTTAAACAACTTTAACTTCAAGTAGACCCTGCTAATGGTATCTCTGAAGCTATGATAGTTTAATTCTTTATCCAAGGCCTACGACCAGAAAATGCTATAAATGTACAAACCGCTGAACCTGCTGATCTGAACTGTGCTATACAAAAGGTATGCAAATAGGAAACTAGATGAGTTATAGCCACTAAAAATAATACTAATGGTGATGGAAATGACCAAGCTATTGCCCACTTTACCAAACAAATTGCCAAGCTTAATATTAACCTTGCTGAAAAACAACCTGCCACTTCTGTCTATTATTCTGAAAATAACAACTCCTCTTGCCAAAATAATAATAATAACAATAATAATAATTCTCGAAATAATATTTGCTACTACTGTAGCAACTGAGAATATTTTATTAGGGATTGCTATGCACGAAGAGAGGATAATAGAAGAAGCTCACATGATTATTGATCCTCAAGTCAAGATAATAGATATTTTTTTAGAAACAATTGATCCTATGATAGATCTAGATCTCGTAATAGAGATAAATCCAGAAACAAAAATTATGATCAAAGAAACAGATCTAGAAACAGAAATCAATCTTGTAATAGATATCGTTCTGACAACTATTTTTCTTATAACCAGAACTATAGGTCTAAAAGCTGATCCTTTACCCCCTACCCTCAAAATATATATACTGCAGATACAGCTAATGACTATATCTATGAACAATTTGAACAATTCTTAGTTAATGAATTCATCAGGATAGCCTTAGCTAGTTATCTTATAGAAGAATCTAGTATCTCTAACCAGACACAGACACCAACTTACACTACTTCTGTTAAGTATAATATTAAACTTAAAAACTGACTCTACCATGTTATCATCGATAGTGAAGCTGCAATTAGCATGATCTCCCACAAAGTTGTCAAGAAACTTGATTTAAAAATTGAAGCCCTCTCTACTAGCTTAATTGTATTAGCTACTGGACTCTTTACTAGACCTCTAGGAATTATTAAAAATCTTCCTGTAGAAATTGAAGAAGTTATTATTTCTCTTGATGTAGAAGTGATAGATACTGCATCTTACTCTCTACTTTTAGAAAATGACTGGTCACAAAAAGTTAAAGCCAGTTACAATTGGAAAAATAAGGCCTACACCATTAAGTAGAATAGGAAGAAGATCTATGTTCCAACTACCTATAAACAACACCAACCTTTGCTAGCTCAACTAACAGTAACCGATAAAAGAGACCTAGCTCAATTTGAACAGGAATATCTTGTTTCTAAAGAAGCCTATACTGTTAACTCTGTAGTACTGTATATGTTTGAAAATAAGCTATCATTTTTGGGGGTCGTCTAAAGCCAGATGTATTCACGTGACTAACAGCCAATTAAATAATAAATTTTGATTTACCCGGATTAGCTCGACGAAACAAAAACAAAGAAAAAAAGTAAAAAACACAAAAAATAAAGAAAATGAGTGTCTAAACCTACCTCGAGGTACTAATAAAAAATATCAGGAAAGCAATTTTACCTATAAGCCTTATTCTAATCTTAACCTCTCACCAACCCTTACCCTAATATTAATTAAATATTAAAAAATATATAAACATACCTGGCTAAAGCCTGGTTTGGTCACGTAACTATACAATCAGAATAAGCTCTGACATAACTTCTGGATGACTATCAATTTAGACTTACTTTGTTTCCATGAAATGTGTTGTGCAATACTGCAATATAAAACATATTTATATATCGCCAGTATGCAAGATAACAATAGCGACAAAAATCAATTGAAAAGCCAACCGTAAAATTAAACGAAAGAATAAGCACATATGTAGGTTATTTAAGATTAGCATTTTCTTCTTTTTAAACTTTTTTTATAACCTTTTTTTTTGTTACAAAAGACAATGACTATTTGTATAATCATACTAGAAGGCTCTTTGTTATCAAAGTACTTATATATTGTTTTGTAAAGTTTTTTTTTTTTTTGAAAAAATCTGATTTTTTTTTTTTAAAAAAACTGATTTTTTTTTTCTTTTGAAAAAACTTTTTTTTTTTTTTTTTTTGAAAAAAAACGATTTTATTTTATTTTATTTTTTTTTAAATGATTAGTTTTTTTTTTTAAAGCACTTATAAGCATATACTGTAAATATGAATCCACCTACCTCTGAAAATTTAACAAATTTAACACCAAATCAAAGGTGTTTTCTTCTTTTTAACGTAAGCGAACCACTAGAAATTTTTTTACTGGAATTTGATAATAACTGGTGGCCTCTTGTCTCGAATATATGGACTAAGTTCAGTCATGGAAATCTAGTTAATGGCGATTCATGGAATATATTTACATGTCGCTTTGCAAAAAATAAACTATCAAGTTCGCGAAAAAAGAATGTGCTACAAGAAAAACGTAGAAAAACAAAGATTAGCCTGCTGGCCTGTGCTCTGCTAAAATAAAAATTACATGATATCTTTCAA